CCGCCGTGGCTTGCTTTTGGCTCCGTTGACATACGCCCGAGCAGTAACGGACGGAAAGTGGGAGCATTCAGGTTCAGCCTGATGGAGGCAAGCCACGGTCTCAACTTACGGCGCTATGGCGTTGCGGAGTAAGATGAAGAGAGATTGGATAGACAAGCCATGCAGCCAAAAGCCGGGAAACGAGGCCGGCATTTCCTTGTTCGGTTGGTTCCTGAGGTAGGACAATAATAAAGAACCTACTGGGCTGCGAGTGATACTTGTCACCAGTAGAAGAAGTATAGCACATAAGAGACTACACAGTAAAAGTGTGGTCCAAGTTTGATTTCATATTACCATTACATGAGGAAGGAAGTGAGAGCTCTGCCCCTCCTAAACAAGGTATTTCCACCTCGCCTAGGTAAGATCTTCTTCCCCATCCAAGAGTCGAGCGAAGTGAAAACACTCCTTTTTCTTTCTTGAAGAGACCCTTTTTCCAACCTTGTTGTGTCTTGTTAACACACTCTTTGTACAATTGATATGGAACCCAAACATCATTTGCAACCAGCCCTCATCACTCAGTCCCCTTCATTATGAACAGCCAATCCAAGTTCATCCTTTCCCCTTCCTTCCCTTTTTGCCCTTGGCCTTTCCCCCCTTCCACGACAACAAGTCGCATAATAACCCTGAAGCCATGAACCGGGCCGTTAAAACGAAGAAGAGAAAATAACTATAAGAAAAAAACAACAACATATGTGTGTGGTATAACGCCTTTCCCAATGCCCCAGATAGTGAAGGTATGTTCTTTTTTCTCTCTCTTTGTTGGTTTTGTTCTTCTTTCTCCGTCACCTTCCCCTTTCCATCGTCATCGTCATCCAAGACCACCATGGCGTCCGTCCCCCCGTCTAAGACGTCGAAGGGGGTGTTACATCAATATAGATGATGAAGCCCCAACCACGTTTTGTGAAAAGAGCGATTAACTCTTCCCACAGAAATAAAAATTACCACCGTCGACAGAAATAGTCTGTATAAGTACGTATCACAACTCCTCAGTTCCTCAGCAGAGGGGCCCCGCCCTACTCCGAGTTCTGTGCCCAATTATATTACTCGTCCTTGAGCTCTTCGCCCTTGACGCCCTTCTTCTTGTTAGCCGCCGCGACCCTCGTGCGCTCGTACTTGATCGAGGTGTCACCCTTCCACATGGTGCCGAGGATTCTATCCCAGGTGGTGAAAAATGGCTGGGAGAAGTTGGTCTTGATGCCCCAGCTCTGATGGTGGATGTCGTGGTAGGTGGCGTTGTTGCTGGTGATGTGCTGCAGGGGGTCCCAGGGCAGCGCGTATCCGCAGTGGTCGTCAACCGTCTTCATCATGCTGCCGACGAAGAAGAACATGCCCTCGCGCGAGGTCATGAAGGAGCACTTGTAGGCGATGGCGGCACCGAGAGTGTCGAGCACGAAACCCTCGACGGGGTGATTGTATAGGGCACCGTAGGCGTAGGGAACGTAGAGACGGTGATGGCGAGCGTGCCACTTGGCTGTTGGAGGAAAGCATGTGTTAGTGGGGGCCGGTTCAGCTGTGTGGAATTTAGGCGGTGTGTTTTAGAGAACTTACTGTACATCCACTTGTTCATGTGCATGGCGCGGTGCCAGAGGTATTGCCAGCTATCGAGGGCAAAAGCGGCGAACCAGAACTTGATGCCAGGGATGACAATCCAGTAAATGAACTTGGCCAAGAGAATCTCCCAGGAAGCGAACGCGGGGACAGCCGTGCCGGCCATGTCATCGAGCTCGAAGAGGGAGGGGTAGAAACCGCCAGCAAGCGCGCCAGCAAGCAGTGGGTATGAGCCAGCGATGGTCTTGGAAAGGGCGCCGGCGTTCAGTCCAACGAGACCGAGAATGGTGGGAAGGCCACGCTGAGCCAAGCGGATGCGCGTCGCCCAGACGGCAACTTCGTAGTTCTCGTGTCCGGTGACTTGCTGGTCGTCGAGGAGATTTAGCACAGCCGAGGTGCCAATCTGGATTACTTGTTCGAGGAGGACATCGCGGGCGACCTCGTAGCGGGAGGCAAGATTACGTTGGCTGATTTCTTCGGGGGTGTGTAGGCGGTACTGAGGGAAGAGGTCGTAGGTGTCGATAATGTGGAAGACCATGGATACGACCCAGTAGGCGATGTGCGGCAGGATAAGCGACAGCCAAAAGTCCGAAATCCACGGCAGCAGGTCCGGAAGTGGCCGGGTTTCGTAGGCGGGCAAAGGCGGCAGGGCCGATGCGATTGTTGTGTTAGCCATCATGGCCATGGTTCGACCGGTTGTTATGTCGGTGAAGCCCATCAACGGGTTTGAGGAATTATCGTATTTTGGCGGCGATAAAGTCGGCAGCAATCAAGACGGAGACTTGCGCTGCTGGACGCCCAAGTTTTAAGTGGGGGGTGATGATAGGTGGTGGAAAGGCGGTTATATAGACAGATTCCAGAAAGACAAAGGACGAACTGATACAGATTGGCAATGAAGGAGTGTCGGTGAGCTTTTTGTGTTTCTGGGAAGATGGACGGGACGGGGAGGATGGGAAGGGATGGAGATTGTATTGTAAAGTACAAAGTGAAGCCCGGGCGCTGACTGATACCGCGTAGTGGACTGAGTGTGTCCTGAGGTCGGACTAAGAATCGAGATCAGTGGAGAATTGGCGGGTTTTAGTGGTTCTACAGTCGCGGTCCGACTGGGTCCCTTGTACAAAAATCCATCGAGGACCGCCTATCGAGTGGCGTTCGCCGTTTCGCTCGGTTTGCCGCCCCCGGAGGGAAAGAAGCGAGCGAGTTGCGGCTTCCCCCCTGGCAGATTTTTGTGCAAACCCAGAAACCCCAAGAGATGCCGGATGCCGGACAGCCCATTCATTCACTTGTGTTTTTCAGGTTACGGGTAGGATCTATCACCTGCCAAGTGGGAAAGAGCTGCAATGTTCTTGCCCATCAATTTCGCTTTGGTCCGATCTTCCGCGTCTGCTGTTTTATCGTGCCACCCTCCGGCTTATCAAAACCACCGACACTCCGCCGTGGTTTACAAGGTTCATCATCCGTCACTGTCACAGGTAAAAAGTCTCGACCCATGAGCCTGGTTTTGCTTATTATGTGGCTTACCAATGTCTGGGACACAAAGACTATAAACCATCCCAACTTCCCGTCTCCCTTCCATTTTCCCCAGATATCTGCCCACGCTGGTGTGATGGATGTGACAGCTTATGCAAGGTCTTGGCAGGGGCATCCGCATCGAGTTGATGCACCATCAGGTCTACCTAGTTGGGTACGGTGATAAGGCTGGGGCAAGCCTATCACTATCGACAACTAACACGACATGTTCAGCTTCGTGCCTCTCGTCGCCTCACCTCACCTTCTTTGCCTTTTTTATGGAGAGAAATCGAATTTCTGCGCCGCCGTCTCCGCAAATCCAAAGGCATCAAAAGCATCGGTTTCCGGCAAGTCCCCAGGACCCCGAACACAGTCTTCTTCCGGAATGTGGTCCACCGCCATCTGACAAGTTGTGTGATTGGACAATTGGCACACGGTACTTGGCAAGGATCCGAGGCCTTTTCTAACCTTCAAATTTCGATCAGGCACTCCACCAAGGCGTGTGTCCACCGGGGTTTCACCTGTTGTTCGGTTCTTACCGTTCCTCCCCGGGTTCCGGCCAATATCCCGGCATCTGCGTGTCACAGACCGGTCACAGACCGCCGCGCCATGCCGTCTTGACCGCCGCCCCCGAGCCGTGTTCTTGGCCGGCAGTCAGCTGGAAATTTGGGCTCCACTTCGGCATCCGCGGGTCTCCAATATCTTCGGCGAGGCTGGTCATGGCCGTCGACGTCAGCTTCAAGATAATGATGGCACATGATGATTAATTCCCGGTGAATGAGCATGCGAATCATCATCAGAAAGGTGCCAAACTGCCCTTCATGTCCTCTTGCGAGACGGATGAACAAGAGCAGACTGCACCATAACAAGGCTAAAGTTGTGATTCCATCCCGACTTCTGGCCAATCATCCACGTGGGTAAGGTAGTGTACTCGGGACTCGGGGCGGTTGCCAGCCGTGGTCTCGAAAGAACCTTGATGGACTCGACTGTCATTACAGATACGCCAGCAGACTCGGACTCGGACACGACCATCCAACTTGATGGCTATGGTCAACCTGAAGCACTTGCTGAGGCCACTCAGTTCACGAGACCATGTCAGGTTCTGCAAAACAGTGAATTACGGCCACCACAATGCCAGTCCAACGACGCTCGACACCAATATGATAGATGGTCTGTTGCACACGGATCGATACTCGAGATGAAGAGTGCTTGCGAAATAAAACACCAAGGCAAACGCACGAGAATGGGGAGAGATCGAATGTTTGCCCAGTTGAAAGATGAACCGCTTCTGCGCTTCCAGACGTGTTGTGGTGTTGCGACGAGATCGCGATCGCTGACAGGCTGTACGAAAAAGGAAGTTGTAAAAGAATGGCAGCCAGGTGCACCACAACTCTTGACTTGGACTCGTATCATTCCAGACGTTCACGATTCTGCTCAACTCCGCCTTGTGGGAAAATTCAGGAGTCTAGGATGACGAGCTTCAGTCTCGAAGGGCGATTGGAATTTCGTATTGTGGTCGAGGCTCAAAAAGGGTTCAAGTTCTTGCTGTTCTGGACTTTTTGATCTTCGCACATCACAGGTCACTTGCACACCGTGGGCAACGAACTGGGGAACGAATAAATTGTAGCCAACAGCGTGCGCCCCGCCCGCGTGGTGAAAGTCTCGAGCGGTTGGATTGGAGGTGCCATTCCCGCTTGGGTTTAGCGCAAAGCAAGACCTTTGCCCCTCCTAGCCCCTCCCACCCCTTCCCTTCCTCCATTTTTTTCACCCGCCCAGGATTTAACCCACCCGCGTCCCAACGTCTGGTCTGAGTCTCCTTCTTTTTCGATTTTGTCTTCGTGCCCTTGTTCTCCCCCAAGTCCATCAACAACCCAAACCTTGATACCCTCCTCAAATCAGTCAAAATGCTTATTTACTCTGTAAGTTTTTGGGTTTACTGCTACTACACGGTCATGAACACATTGACACAAATGTCAATGTCGCATCCAAACCGCCGACCGAGACAACGCATAAGCAGCATCGGCTAACCCCGCTTCTTTTCGCGTAACAGGATATCATCACCGGCGACGAGATCATCTCGGACTCGTACGACCTCACTGAGGTCGGCGATGGCATCGCCTATGAGGCCGACTGCGCCATGATTGAGGAGGGCGCCGTCCAGATCGACATTGGTGCCAACGCCTCCGCCGAGGAGGGTGAGGAGGCCCTTGAGGACCAGGCCGTCAAGGTCAACAACATCATCCACTCTTTCCGTCTCCAGAGCACCCAGTTCGACAAGAAGGGCTACCTCGTCTACCTTAAGGGTATGTTTGTTTATCAACCTCGCTCCTCTATAATATAACCCATCATGCGCCCGCGTCCCCCCGCGCGCGCACACACACTTCAACCGCCACCACCCGCCCCCATCCACCCACTCATTCACCTATATATATACCAGCATACATATACTAACATGTCCAAAACCAACAACAGGCTACATGAAGGCCATCAAGGCCAAGCTCCAGGAGCAGGGCAAGTCCGAGGCCGAGGTCAAGGAGTTCGAGACCAAGGCCGGCGCCTTCGCCAAGAACGTGATCCTCGCCAAGTTCAAGGACTGGGAGTTCTACACTGGCGAGTCCATGAACCCCGACGGCATGGTTGTCCTCCTCAACTACCGCGAGGACGGCACCACCCCCTACATTGTCGTCTGGAAGCACGGCCTCAAGGAGACCAAGGTTTAAATATACCGCATAAGCGTTTGATCTTTTTCTTGTGGGCGTAAAATTTGGATCGGGCTTCGAAAAGAATACAAAAAAGTTCTGAAACGACCGAGGTTCCCCCCCCATTTGTTCCATTTGTTCCATTTGTTCCATTTGTTTGTCGATATGAGCGTACAAAAGATGATTTGATGACACTCCTACTACTGCTGTGCTACAATCTGCTACTGATCGAAATGCTGGCCATCTGCTGCTCTCTTGTGACATCTCTTTTGTATCTAGAATTTGTAAAAAGAATCCACCGCCCAACAGCTTCCCGTCATGCAGGTCCACAAAATCAATTGTTCTGACCGGCTGTTTGGCACGACTGCAGTCCAGACAAATTTGATCGACATGATGAGCTCAAGGTTGTGAGAAGATAGCGATACCGCGTAATGCACAAAACTTGAGCCTCGTTTCCACATGATGCTAAAATTATGATTATCATATAGTGTATACTCATCGCGATGCAAAACATTTCTTCCCTGCTGCGCCGCTGGCAACTTTCATCCTTCCCCAGTCTTTCTTTGCTCGTCCCCCGGTAGTCCGTGGTGTATGACGCTGTCGTGCATGGTCCTGAGAAAGTGAGAACCTTTGCGTCCTGCGTGTCTACCCTACCTTGCCCTATCCTATCCTAGGTATTCTATCCTATCCGTATCAGCCCTACGATCTCAAAGAGGTACCTCCCCGTCTCCTGGGCCGGGCTGAAGTGGGCTATCCATGTCTTCTGCCTGCCGATATCAGATACCCGAGCCTATGCAGTTAAGACAAGGACGGAAATCCTCACTGCCCCCTGTGGTCCAGACCTCAACAGACTTTCTCGCCTACCATCCGGCAGACGTTTTGTACAAAATAAAGCCAAGACATGCTCATCCCCTAGTCGTTGTGCGTAGTAACTGGAAGGCTTTTTCTGTACCAGCCTAAGCTGCCTGTGTCAGATTTCCTGCCATCAAGGTCGCGCGTGCCAAAATCTACGCGCCAATTCATCCTCCCCTATCCGACTCACTCAAAATTACAATCTTTTCCACCTAGATATTCTTGACCTTTCTCGTCATCAACCACAGTCTCAAAACGCAGGCCTTGTAGCCAGAGGAACAGGCGGCGGGGCCGGCGCATCCTGCTGAGCAGACGGCGCAGCCATCAAAGCAGGTTTCTTCTTGGGCGGCGGAGGCGGAGGCGGCTTCTTCTTGGCCGCAGCCATTGCAGCAGCCGATGGACTTCCCGGCGCAACAAGGCCCGTAGCAGAACCAACCGAGTCGCTATGCCCATGCCCATGCCCATAGGAAACAGCGCTCTCAGCTCTTGTTCTGGTCCCAACCGGCGGCGGCGGCGGTGGCGTCGCAGAACCTCCATAACCACTTCCTGTTGATGAAACACCTCCCGTTGAACCTCCTCCAGAACCACCACCAGGACCAAACCGATCCATCAACCCCCTCCCTGCACTAGCCGCCTTCCCTCCAAGACTCTGAGCAGTCTTCATCCCCGCCGCTATCTGATCCCCGTGTCTAGCACGAAAGTTATTTATCGTTCCACCGGCGGACTTGGCATCACTGTAGGAAACGGAGCGAGGGTCCTTGTGGAAGGCCGAAGCGGTTTTAAGGGCTTGTTGCTTTTGGGCCCAGGTTGTTCCTCCTCCTTCTTGTCCTGTGGTCCCTTCTTGATGGGTACCAATCGTTGAAGGGGATACACGGGAGGCCGGTGGGGGAGGGGGCAAAATGGGACGATTAGAGGGCGGTGTTGGGGTTGTGGATGTGTTGGGAGGAGGCAGGGAGTCGTAGGGTTGGGAGTAAGGCTGGGAAGTTGGCCCTGGTGTAGCAGAGGGGGAAGTAGAGGAAGAGCCGCCCGTGGTGAGTTTGGAGAAGCGGTTTTGGAGATTGGAGAATTGGGATTTGGCTTGGTCGGTGAAGCTGCCGGTGCCGCCGCTGGTAGAGCCGGTGGTGGTTGATCGAGCGGGACGGTTGATTGGGGTGTAAGGCGGCGGTGGCATCAGAGGATTCTGGCTTGGATTAGTCGTCGCAGCAGGGCTCTTCTCGCTGCCGATGCCGAAACCGGGGACGTTGACACCCGCGGCGCCGAGACGCCTTACGGTGTCTTGATTTAAGTAACCATCGCCTGCTTGTGGTGAGCCTGGAGAAGTTGTAATTGATCGAGGTGGTAGTCTGGGTGGTAGATTCGGTGGTCCTCCGGCGGAAGGTAGGCCGGCTGCGCTGATGGTAGAAGGGCGCGGTGGCGGTGGAGGTCGGCTATCGGCTCCGTCTCTGCGACCGGGAGGGGGCGGTAAGTGTGCTGTTGATAGACCGGTAGTGTCTATACGGTATGGCCTCGGAGGCGGCGGCGGTCCATCCTCCTCGACCCCCTCATATTGTTGCTGGTGTCCATACTGTTGCTGTTGCTGTTGCTGTCCGTATTGCTGTGAGTCGGCCGGATTGGTGGGAGTAGGTCGAGATGTAGGGGGCGGCGGTGTCAGGTCGCCAGTCCTGCGCTTGGGCGGAGGAGGGAAAGATCCCGGGTCTCGCAGAGAGGAAATCGGGGTTGATTGGTGGTTCGCATAACGTTCCCTCTGTATGCTAAGGTATTAGCAACTCATACCAAGGAGCATGATGCCATGGCGGACATGATGACTTACAGGATCCTCTCCGCGTCCGAGCAGACCTTTCTGTGTTCGAGAAGCTGGTCAGTATTTGATCAATGGTATTAGACGTCCATTAGGCCTCATACCACTTGGCCTTTCAAGGACCCTCCCTTCTCCTCGGGATGCCATCCTTTCTTGAAGATCTCCTTGCCCTTTTCTTTGTAGCCCGCTAGTTCCGGCATGTTGGGCAGGATGTGTATGATATGCCGTAGATATAGACGATAGCGAAGATGAATTGGATTTGGTTGTAACCAAGAAGGAAAAGAAACCTTCTAGAAAACAATTCGGCAGTTCACGTTCGACGCCGGTAATCAGGTAGCGTGGTGATCACCAGGCAGATGCTAGGTGGTCCGGGGCAGGAGTCCAGTTCGATAGGGGGACCTCCGCGCTTTATCGTAAAGGAAACGGGGTCGGCAGTCGTTCTTATCTTCCAGCGGGCACTTTGCACAGTGATGTGACGTAGATCCCGGCGGATCGTCAGCGGCTGACAGGGTCCCACACCAGCTGTGCCGCCTTGCTCTTCAGGCACTGCCGTTCGTCCCAGCGGGCTGATCCCCGCGCGCCCTGGGGGTGTCACTGTCAATTCAATTCCACTTCCGCAATCGCATCGCATCGCGTCTTCGAGTCGCGACCAAGTCAACCCCGAAAGTTCAAAGTAAACAAACGAACCTAAAATGGCCACAGCAACAGATACCGAGCTCCTAACAGAGCACTTTGGCTATCCCCCAGTTGTACGCTCCCTCCATTCTCTCCTTCGATTCAACCCCCCATCACCCACCCAAGCTAACCCCGCGGCGCATCACAGAGTTTATTAGACGACATAATCAACAGCATCAACATCCTCGCCGAGCGCGCCCTCAACAGCGTCGAACAAGGTCTCCTCAACGCGCCCCCCGCCTCTCTCGGTTTCCGCCCACCCACCCATGCCTCCGCCGTCAAACCAGGCAAGAAGCCCAAGAAGGGCGAAGAAGGCTTGCCCAACGCGGAGGAAGCCCATCGCCACGAAATCGAAAATGGCACGCACCAGCTCGAGACATTGCTCTGCGCTAGCATCGACCGCAACTTTGACAAGTTCGAGATTTACGTCATGCGCAACATCCTCTGTGTGAGGCCCGAGGATCGCGATTGGATACGGTTGGGACATTATGAGGGCTTGGATTTTTCTTCTTCCTCCCCGTCCAAGAAAGAGGGAGGGGACCAACGGCCAACACTGGAAACAGTGACACACCTCCGCAGGCGCTTACAAGCGTCGCAAAAGTTAAACGTCATGCTTCACGCCGAAAAGGCTCGTAACGCAGCATTGCTAGCCGAAGTTCGTCGTCTTATCGGCTCCCCAAAGAAACAAATCAAATCCGAACGTCAACAACCACCAGCACAACAAAACGGCGCCACAGACACCGACACCGAAATGACCGACGCCTCTCCCGTCCGACAACCCCAAGACCAGAAGAGTCCCTTCGCCTTCCTAACCCAAAAGACCTCCATCCTCTCCACCTCCGACGCCTCCACGCCCTTGACCACCACCACGGCATTTACCCTTTCGCAACTTGACGCGCTGCGCTCTTTGTCTGCTTCTTTACGATCGTTGCTGCCTGCGTTGTCGCACCCTCTCCCTCCTTCACCTCCCTCTCCTCCCTCACCGGAGACTTCAGACGGACCAGAAGGAGGAGAAAAGGACAAGGACAAGAAAGAGAAGAAGAAGCCCTTCCGCCTCCAAAGACTAGAATACATCGAGACCGCCACGCGCAAACATCTCGAGCAAGTGCGTGGGTTGGAGTTGGGGGTTAATGGGGAGCTGAGAGACGACGCGGAGTGGGTGGGTGACGTGGGTGAAATTAATAGCCACGATGGAACAAGGACGAAGAGGAGGAGGGTGGAGAGGGAGGAGGTGGAGGCTTTGGAGGGGGTTCTGGGGAGTTTAGCTGCCCCGGGAGACGCTGTTGCGGTGGGTGGTAGTAAGGAGACTGGGGAAGGTCAAGAGGGAACGGGAGAGGAAGCTGGAGAGGGAGAGGGAGAGCAGAGACAAAATGACCAGAGGCAAGGAGAGGAACAAGCGCAACCCGAAGGACCCAGAGAGAGAGAAGCAGGAGGGGAAGCGGAAATGGAAACGGAAACGCCACGGCGAAGCGGACGGAGACGGAGTGCGGGGAAGGGCAAGGAGAAAGCCGATGGTGATGGAGAGCGGATGGATGAAGCGTGAGGTTCCGTTTGGTTTGTTACTGAGGGTGGCTTGTTTGTTGGTTTTCATTGTACACTATAAGCAGGCGTTTTGGGGCGAATAATTGCTTCTCGTATGGAAAAGGGTATGGAGTTAAAAGGGTATATTTGATTTGGTAGTATAGCTGAAAAGAGAAATGTGATGACGAATGATACGATTTTTGAGCCAGCCATGGCAAACGGTTCAGATTTCCGCAGAACTAAGAACCGCCTGTCCAGCTAGATATATGGTGTCCAAAACAGTGCTATATGCAGTTTTTCAGTTGTTATACAATATGTACACATACACATCTCTTAACATTACACACCACACCTCCCTCCCCATCCCTCACAACACCCTTACTCATCCGCATCCTCACCAACCCGATCTCTCGGGGTCTCATGCGCCTTCTCAAACGCCTCCAGCAAGTCATCGCTCATCAAGCCGCCCTTATACGCCAAATGCCAAAACCTGTGCTTCCAAAACCTCTCACTCTTCATCCTCACCAGCCTCGCCTCCCGCTCCGCTGGCTCTTCCACGTCCCTGCTCGCCAGCACATGATTGGATGTTACCGCAACCTTCATGGGGTTCAGCGCCGCTACCAGCTTGGCCGCGCTGTCCAGCATGCCCTGGTGGCGCATCATGGCTGCCAGCAGCTCGAACATGGCGTCCATGGTTAGCTCGGTGATGCCGGCGTTGAACACCTGCCAGAAGATCTGCTCGGCCTTTACCGGGTTGTTGGCCCGGCTGTAGCCCTTGATCACGCGCTCCCAGAAGATGTGATCGATGTTTTCATTCAAGTGTAGGCGGCGGTTGTCGATCAGCGCCGTCACGGCTTTGTCGTCGGGCGGGTCGCGGCCGAAGTAGTGCTCCGCTAGCATGGTGTAGATGTGCGAGGTGAGCTCGAGCCCTTGGTTCCAGATGTGCGCGAGCACGGCGTTGACGGCTGTTTCCGCCCGGTCCCCCTCTTGGAGTAAAAGGTAGATGGCTTTCGCGTAGATCATCATGTTCTCCATTACGCCGCTGCTCTCCATGGTGCGCATCACCTCGCTCACCGTCGAGCTGATCTCCTCGGGCGTCTGCTTGTGGATCCCCTTGAGCGCCCTTTCGAGCAGGATGGTGAAGGTGGCGCTGTCGGGCTCGATCTTGGCCTGTTTCATGCTCTCGAGCAGGGCGATGCTTTCCTCGTTCTTGTTGGTCCGCACGAGCCGCTGCAGGAGCGTGTTGAACGTGTAGATGTCGGGACGGATGCCCTGCTTGGCCGCCCAGCGAAGCACGTCCGCGGCGAGGTCGTCCCGCTCAAGCCGGATGAGAGCGACGGCGGCGGCGTTGACGGGCTCGATGGACGGCTTGACGGCTTGCTTGGGGTATCTCACTTGGTGTTTCCACTTGTCGGCCATCTCGTCGAGCGCCTTGAGCCCGTCGGCAATGGCTCCGTTATTGATGAGCCCGCTTATCCTCGCCGTCCAGATGAACGTGTCCAGTTGCATTCCGGATGCTAACAATTTTTCCCAGACGAGCTTGATAGCGCTAACGTTGCGGGACATGGCGGCGCCTTGAAGCATGGACGTCCAGGTCTCAATGGTCGGCTTTATGCCGGCCTGTTCCATTTTGTTCCAGACTTCGACCGACATTTGGGGCCGTCTAAGAAACATGAAGCCATATACGAATTTATCGAAGATCTTTGAGTTTTCGCGGAAGGACCGCAGCTGGGACGGATTCGGCGAGTCTTCTTCGCCCCAAAGCTGAACCCAGGCTGTGTATAGCAGTTCCAGGCTCTTCTTCTGTATAGCCTGTTCGGCGGTCGCCTTGATTTGAAGTATTGGATGTACCTGCCGAGCAAAGCGGTTTAAAGTGCCGGCCAGAAAGGAACCCAGGTGTGTCTGTGTCTTGATGTATGCGTATAAACTGGGATATCGTCTCGCGACCGGATCGAAGTCGGTAGGTTTTAGTGTCGTGACCACAGCCAATATCTTGCCCATGACCTCCAAAAAGGGACCAGCTTCTTTGGCAGCCAGACGTGAGCACCTGACAGGGTCAGTAAGTAGACTATATGAGCCAAATGCAGCCCATGTCGATATGTGAAGCGCATTCTCGCTACTTCCGTGGCTGCCCAAGGTATTGTACATTATGCGTTCGAGGCCGCTGAATCCTTCAGAGAATTGCGCCTTCGCATTTGCTTTCGAGGCACCCGCCAGTCTGACGTCCTTGACTACGGTCCAAGGCAAGCGATGCTTGGTAAAATGTTTCCACGTTGCGGCGATATCAAAAAGGACCAGATCACGGCGTGCCATTGCACTTTCGTACTCGTTGATTTTGGTGTAACGGTCAGGGGATGCGTCGATGCGGTAGACGGACTGGATCATCTCGATGATGAGAGGAGACCAGTATATAGGATCGAAGGCATCGAGTTCGAGCATGATTTCGGTGATATGGGCCGTCAATGGGAGCTCGGGGGCGTGGACGTTTCTCGTCTTTTCGATCAAGATACGAGGCAGCAGCAGGTCCTTTATGGAGCGCATGACAGGTTTCGGGACTTTGCGAGTTGGTATTGCCGAGATGGCCTTGATCAAGGGATAGATTTCTTTTTTGAAGAACTTGAAGGCGTCGGCGCAGGACGAGTTGTTGTTTTTGATCTTGGCGTCCATCCGGCCTCCCAAGGCCAACAGATCGATATCGGATATGGTGATGTCGCTGGGCTGGGGCACATCGTGGACTATGTCGTTGAACATGGCGACCAGCTGAGACCCGTCGGTATCTGACGGATGAGCAGAAGAAGAAGCATGGCTGCGGTTGGATTTGCCCTTGGCGGGTGCCTTCCATGCTCCATCTCTATCTCTTCTGTGATGCGTCGCCGTTTGCTTCTGCTGCTTCTGCTGCTTCTGCTGCTTCTGCTGCTTCTGCTGCTTCTGTATCTCTAAAGGGGATCCGAATTCTTGGTGGGCTTGGGCTTGGGCTTGGGCTTGGGCGACGCTACCGGGAGCGGAAGTGGTGTAGCTGTAGCTCGGCCGACATGAAGGCGACTGCGATGGTGGTTGTCGAGGAGTCCCCGGACGGCGGGCGGCTTGAGTCGCGACAAGGAGCTGAGTACGACATCTCAGGCAGACGTGGCCCAGGTCTCTCATGGTCTGTCGCGAACAAGTTGTGAAAAGTCGAAATGGCCGAACACCCTTGATGTCCTCCTGCCTTTTGTGATTTCCCGTCGTCGGCGAAGGAGTGGACACGTCGTTGACAGATGGGGGACGGGAGTGGAGGAGAGGACGAGAGGAGGGAGGTGGCCCCGGGCGCGGAGAACGGGAAACGGGGCGGATGGGACGGCGGGGTGTTTTCTGATGGAGTCTCGCTCAATTGGAACTTCTGTCGAACTCGGCTCCTGAATTTCTTGGGGAAGCGGAACTCGATGCGGGACACGGGATGTGGAGGAAGCCCCACGGAGCCTGAGAGGGTTGGGGTTGAGCGAGTGTTTCTACTCTAGGCAATCCCCCAGGTTGGGGTCTCCTTGCCGTCCGAACTAGAGTTGCGAGTCGCTGTTGGTACGTCATGGCTCTGTTTCCCAGCAGCCGTGTTAGCAATGTTTACCTCTCGTCTAGTATAATCAATTATTCAATGCGGAGACAGGCCGACCTCCAGGGTTTCAATATGGGCGCACGCCACCACGCAGGTCTTGAGGTTCCTCTTCACTCGGCTCCTCCAGCCATTCATTCACCTATCAACCTGAACCTGTCGACTCATCATCATGGGTCGTGACTTGGATCGACTGCATCTCTAACTCCTATAAGAACCGCCATCCACCCCCTCTCTTGTTACCCTAGCTTTGTTTACCTCCTACTTGTAGACCTCCTCCATCCATAACCATCTCCTCCTGGTCTCGGACCCCTCCTACGATACCTACACTACGACCCATACTTCGGCCACCTAAGCATCTCAACCTCCTGACCTTTACGCTTACCATGACGTCTCTAACCCCCCGCCCTCCCTATACCGACGATGAGCTCCAGAAGCTCTACCCACCGGGTCTCCAACTCCAACAAGTCCAGATCCTGATGCGCCACGGCGAACGCACCCCCGTAACCGCCCGCTTCCAAAATGCCGGTCTCAAGCCCTTCTGGCCCTACTGCGCCAGTGTCCGCCAGATGAGGTCGATAATGCTCGACTACAACGGCGAGAACAAGAACAGACCCCACGACCCTCTAACCAGCAAGACCGGAGACAACACCCCCTTCCACACGGTCGAATGGAAGCGTCGTCTGGAAACCTTTGGCCCCAACGACGAGCCCGTGGTAGCCAAGGGCCCCGCCAACGAACTCGACGACGTCTGTGACTTCGGCGCCCTGACAGACCTCGGCCGCCAGTCGACCTCACGCTTGGGAATGCGCCTCCGCAAGCTCTACGTCGACCGCCTCGGCTTCCTGCCCGAGACTATCATCTCCACCGACGACTTCTACCTGCGGTCGACTAACGTGCCCCGCGCGCTCGAGTCCATGCACCAGACCTTCCAAGCCTTGTACCCGCCCTCTTCGCGCGAGGCCGACCCGAAAACGGGCAAGTTTCCCGTGCCCACCGTTTTGACCCGCGGTCCCGGTGACGAGACATTGTACCCCAACGACGGCAACTGCCGACGCTTTGCCGCCTTGTCGAGAGCATTCGCCCAACGCGCGGCGGACAGGTGGAACGCCACAGAGGAGATGGAGTACCTAAACAAAGTCTACGGCAAGTGGATGCCAGCTAACAGCCCACGCGTCGCCGTCGACTCACGCCCTCGCTTGTCGGGTATTATGGACACCGTGAACGCCAGTCTGGCGCATGGGCCGCAGACCCGGCTGCCGGAGGAGTTCTACGATTACAAGGCCCGTAGGATCATGGAGAGGATTGCCAGTGACGAGTGGTTCGCGGGCTTCAACGAGAGTCGCGAGTATCGCATGCTGGGAATGGGTAGCTTGCTGGGTGATGTCGTGGGGAGAATGATTAGTCGTGCTGAGCGCACCAACGCAACCCCAGGAACAAAATCGGATACCTCGGACCCCTCTGCCTCTGACATCAAGTTCGGTCTGTCTGGGTGTCACGACACCACGCTGGCGGGTATACTCGCCAGCTTGGGTGCGCACGACAGCAGCAGCTGGCCTCCGTTTACTAGCCACATTGCTATTGAGCTGTTCCGTAAGGCGGACAGCAGCTCGCCCTCCTCCACCGAAATTGCAGTAACACCAGCCAAGCGTGGCTGGTGGCAGTCCATGTTCCCCGGCAGCGCTGTTTCCTCGGCCAACCAAAAAGATGCCTCGGGCATTCGCAGGAAATCGACCGAGTACCTGACTTCTTCCGAGAAGTCCAAGCTGGACGGATACTACGTTCGCATGCGGTACAACGACGAGCCGGTGGCGATTCCGGGATGCAAGGTGCCGGGGAACCATTTGGAGGGGGACGAATCGTTTTGCACTTTGGTATGTTTCCTCCCCATATCTCTTTTCCCGCTGTTCCTCTTTTGTTTGTGTGTGTGTGTAACTACGTATTGTCCCTGGGATGGACCCTTTTACGGGTGTCCCTGCCAAGAGGAGGTACCATAGTTGCCTCATCTGTACCACTGTCACATGCTAACCAATGAATAAATAACATAGTCCGCCTTCAAGTCAATAGTCGACAAGTTCACTCCCCAGGATTGGAAGCAGCAGTGCCGGATGAACTTAGGCCAGCCGGCTACGCCTCCTAGCGGTGAGCCTGAGTGGGCTGGTCACCCTTAAGTTTCAACCTACCATGCGATTCTCGATTGAATCTATGATGCTGGCCCGCTTGATTTGGTCTTGTGTCTTGATCTTGGGCTTGGTATCACTGAATGGTTGGTTACGGTTAGAAAAGGACATGGAAACAAGAAAAGACTGAAAACAGCACTATCAGTTAGGTACCGGATGAAGCAAAGAAGCAAGGAAGCAAGGAAGCAAAGAAGCAAAGAAGCAAAGAAGCAAAGAAGGAATGAAGCAAAGAAGCAAAGAAGTAATGAAGGAAAAGAGTAAGGTTGGGAAGACCGAGTGAGAAGCAACTACAACAAGACGAGCAATCGGTATAAACGAAAAGAATGGTAATAATAATGATAATGACCTATCATTGAGACACGCAGTCACAGTCAGACACAGACAGAGACGGACATAAAGGAATACAAGAGATGCAACCAAGATCGAGGGGAAAAAAAAATTAAAGGGTTCAGTTGAGGTTGACACCACCAAGACTAGACTGCTTGCACTTTCCTTAAGAGACTTGAAACCTTCTGACTTCCACATCTAGTATCTACCTTATGGTATCTGCCTTTCTGCGCTTGCTTCAGTTGGTTGATGGATGGTGTCTTGAGAGTTGCAGAGTGAGATCGAGACACGACGAAGGAAAATAACGGAAAAGGGGGGGGGGGGGGGGGGGGAAGCGTTCTATACCCACCCGCCTACCTAGGCAGACTTGTGATGTCCCATTCGAGCTCGATCTTACAACTAACTTGTTCTTTCAATTTATTGCTTACCAAGCGTGCTTGGAGCACTGATATAATTGAGGGTGTACTCGTTGACGGCCGCCGCCAGATGAAACTGGTATACCTAGGAGACCTCTGGACTTTGTCTGCCTTCTCTGCAAAGCGCTTACGTTATTCATAGTCTACCATAGAGATTTCAGAAAGTTCTTGTTCGGTCATTCTTCAGTTGCAATCAATCGTATTTCGAGCGTACGTGATTTCCTTGTCTAGACATACGGTAGCCGGTCAGGTCAGTATTTGGTAGGTACTTACTGTGTCTTTCTTACTTGTTACATGCATGATCCATCATCCGTGCCGTCACCCATATGTGCTCTTTTTGCCCAGTCAGGTAAGTCAGTATTTGGTATTTTCTTTCACTGTTATTTGTTACATGATCCTTTATCCATCCCGACTCCGACTTTGTGTGCTCCTGTAACCTAGTCGGTCAGTTACCTCCTTCATATTTGCTAGTTACTACAAACCTCCTATAACATTTACCCGCTGTTGAGCTTCTTCTAGACTGCTCTCCTACCCATCTCTCTCAACTCTACATCTAGGCTACCTCTAGCCTCTAGATAGAAACTATCCGACAGCTACCTCTACGCTGTAGTAACCTCAAGAACAACTGTCTAGGTGACTTTGGGATATCTCTTATAAGAAAGGATGATGGGCGTGCCAGGAAAGATAGAGAGAGGACCAGGGAAAACCCGAACTGACGAAGATCATCTATCAACCAAATCGACTGTTAAAAGCAGTAATAGCATGCATGATAAACCACAGCATAAAAAGACACATAAATCAAGAACGTCAAGAATGTCAAGGACAAGTGCGAAAAAAATAACCAAATGGCACCCACGTCAAAGCATCATAACAAGGTGATACCAAAATGGCCTCCTCGAAAGCAACAGCAGAAACAATTTTGTGAGAGGCGTGAGGTGCGTGAACGTGTGACAATTCCTTCATTATAGACTCCCACTTCCACTTCCGCTTCAACCAATTCAACCAAACAAAACAAAACATAAACAACGAAGCGAGTAATTGAGAAAAAGGACCAAACATGAAACGGAAGGAAAAAGAATTACAACAGCATATTTCAATCTTCTTTTTCTTTCCCCTAGAACAATCCCAACCCTTCCTTCCTTCCTGGCCCCAACCTTCGTAATGGCTCGCGTTTCGTATACACACACACTCCTAGCTCATTCATTGCAAGTTGTGGACTGAAACCGCCCGCCCGCCTATCCATTTGCATTGTTATTGTATCCCTTTGTCGCTGATCCCAAATGTTTAATCATGTAGTTCTCTTCCAATGCAACAACACACAGCCACAACACCTCCGTTATATTACCCTACTGATCGATTCAAGAAGCTTCAAAAGTTGTTTTCTTGTAGGACATCTAAGTTGACGCCCAGACCAGAGATAGAGAGATCTTAGTTAGCGACCTCCTCCTCAGCCCACTGGTTAAGGTTTCCCTGAATGGCCAAACCAAACCCGGTGCCCATACCGCCGTAACTGGCCTGGTACTGGTGGCCACGCCTTTGACTTTCGCCGTTACCCTCATTGCTACCATGAAGGCTGTTGGGGCTGGTACCGCCGTTCTCAAAGCCGGGGGCAAGGACGGGCAAGCTCACAGCCCTGTTGTGCGAAGAACGCCCGGGAGCAAGCAGGCCGTTCATGGTGGGAGCGCCAGAGCCGTTGGACATGAAGCCGTTGACGTTCGAGATGCTGGCGGACTGCTGGTGGCCGGACATGGAAGGACCCTGGGGAACCTCGAGGCTCATGCCGGGCTGCTCGTTGGGAGAGGACGAGGCGGTGCCGAAAAGGGCGGCCTGGTAAGGGGCAAGAGACTGGTGGTGGACCTGCTGCTGATGCTGAGCTTGCTGACTGACGTGGTTAAGGTACATGGTCAAGGGGTTGTGCTGGCTGAACAGGGCAGGGAGACCGGGAGCGCCATTGGAAGTAGGCGAATTGCCGTTCTGGCTAGCACCGTTCACCTGGGGCGAGGGGACCTGGTTGTTCTGCTGTTGCTGGTTGTTCTGCTGCTGCTGCTGCTGCTGCTGCTGCTGCATCTGACGAGGCGGGTTGCCACAGCGGTCCTTGCCAAAATTCACCTTGAACTTCCTGTACTCCTCCTTGGAACGGACAGCCTCGATAGCCTTAATGGCGTTGGCGATGTTGGTGAAGTTCACAAACGCGCAGCTCTTCTCGCGAAGCGTGTTGACGAGCTCGATCTCGCCATACTCGGAGAAGTCCTGCCTCAAGCGCTCCTCGGTCCACGTCTCGTCGAGGTTGCCGATGTAGACGTTACGAGAAGCGCCGCCGCTGACAGCCAGAGCAATGGCAGGTGGAAGGGCACCGGAGTGCTTGCCCCAACCAATCTTCAGCCGGCGGTTGTGAATCATCAAGCCCTGAAGGTTACTCAAGGCGAAGAAGGAAGCGGCCGCAGTGGGGTCGATGAAGGTGACGAAGCAGATGTGCTTGTCGGGGATGTAGCGAATGTGATGCAACAGACCCCCGCGGACGACATTGCAGATCTCCTCAATGGTAGTCTCGGGGTGGATGTTGCCGAGGTAGATGGTGCGGTTGCCTAGGTTGTTGAGACCGCCAGCGGTAGTGGCGACAGCGGCGGCAGCAACCGACTGCTGAGCAAGGGCGCTGGAAATCAAATCGCGATCCGCACCACTGAGCATGTGCGCATAACCCGGCGAGATGCCAAGGTACTGCGCGGCATTCTGCTGCTGTGTCTTGGAGACGTAGGCGCATCTGTCCTTGCCGTAGTATACACGGCGCGGGGCCGCCCACTTTGCCTCCTGGGGAAGCTGGGCGACGGCCTTGATCGCATTGGCAATGGACAAGAAGTGCACAAAGGCAATGTTCTTCTCCTTGACAATCTTGACGGTGTCAATGGCACCGAACTTTCCAAGGTCCTCGCGCAGCTCCTCCTCTGTGACCTCCTCAGACAGGTTACCAAGGTAGACGTTGCGAGAGGCTCCAGACTGCTGAACGGCGAGAGCGACCGAGGTAGGAACCTGCGAAGGCTTGCCCCAGCCAATTTTGATATCCTGCCCCTTGATGCAGAGCTTTTTCAAGATGGCATCAGAGTGGAAATGCGTGGCGGAGCTCGCGTCCAAGAAGGAAATGAAAGCGCAGTTCTTGTCCGGGAGCAACCGCACGGACTCGATCTGACCGCTGCGAACGTGTCCAAGAATCTCCTCAGCAGAGGTGTCAGGGGGGATATTGCCCAGGTAAACGGTACGGCTGGTGCCGGTAACCATGCCAGGGCCCATGTTGACCGGAGACTGCGGCTGCACAGGCATCTGCATCTGCGCCATGTTGTTGTACGAAGCCGTGGGCGACTGGGGGGCATAGAACTGAGGCGCGCCGTAAGCGGAGGGCGAAACGATGGGCTGGTACATCTGGGGGGAGATGTGCTGCTGGACCGGGCTGGCGGCGCCGTTCTGCGACTGGTAAACCTGCTGCTGTTGCTGCTGCTGGAAGGCAGAAATGCTCTGGAACTGGGGGCTAGCGAAGCCAGAGGGGGTGCCCGGTTGAAAGGGGCTCCCGACGAGAAGAGTAGAGGGCAGCAAAGGAGTGAACTGCATGTCAAAGGCGGTACCGGGGCTGGTCAGATCTTGGCCATTGTGGTTGTGGCTGTGGTGGGAGTTCTGCTGCTGCATGGGCTGCGTGTTGATCGAAGGAATGTTGCCGCGGCGGGGGTGCCTTTCAGCGAAGCCGGAGATGTTGGAAGTAAAGGCGCCGTGGGAGAAGCCGGTGTCGCTGTTGGAAGGCTTGGAGGCATGACCGAAGCGGCCCTGACCGTTGTGGCCATTGTGGCTGTTGTGCCCACCCTGGTGGCCTGAGTAGTCCTGCATCCCGTGATAATGCGCCGGGACAGAGGAGTCCCGATTGAGGTGAGGTAGAACCGCCGTCTTGAAGGATTAAACGTGCCTCTGGTAAAGGCACGACCGAGAAGAATATACGCGATGGAATGTACCGGTAGTCGTACAGGAAATGCGGCCAAAACTCAGGAGAAGAGTATGACTGCTGGGTAAGTATATAGGGTGTTGCGAGATCGCGGACAGATTTGTCTAAAATCTGTCACCGTGGTGCCTCCGCAACGCTGCCGAAACAAAAAGGTATTCGAAGTGTCGCGGTTTTGTATTGTCGGAGCCAGGAGTACCGGACGTCGACAGAACTGAAGCAAAGGGGGCAAGCCAGATTCAGAGAAAGAAACAGTCGAGTGCCAAGGCAGCCAGGATAGCTCGAAGGTGACCGCGGCCGGATTGGGTTTGTTCTCGTCTCTTTGGAGCAAAGACAATTGCTTCGCGGCAAGGGGGGCCGAAAGGGGTTGGTCGATACGGGGTGGGGGAAGGGGATCGATCCTAGCGTCGTCGAAGCCGAACAAAGGAAGATTTTGTGTAGAGCTATTAAATATCGCTATCGTAATCGACCAACGTGACGTTTATATGTAGACTCTCTTTTTCTCTTTCTCTCTTCAAGCGAATGTCGAGTAAAAGGTCGAGGTGGTAGTAATCTTCGCACCGTGGCAGAAGAAGCGAACCGGGGGGGTCGAGTCGAGAACGGAGACTTTGAACTTGGCTTGTCAGTCGGGATGAAAGCTAGCAAGGTCCGTCTGCGGACTTGTCGGGGGGTTCGTTTCGTCCCGTGGGGAAGAATTGAAGTGGTTGTATAGGGTGTAATTAGCAAGACGGTACTTGGCAACGAGTGTTTGTCGAAGGAAGAGCAAAGCTTGCAAAAAAAAAAAGGGCGAGGCACTCCAGAAGGTCGGAGTGGATCGAGACCTTGAAGGGATTTTTGCAAGGCTACGGGGCCCCAAAAGTGGAAGACTGAAGAAGCGGTCTCTCTCCTTGCGCAATGGGCAATTGGGGGGGGGGAAAAAGAATAGCCACGGGAACGAAAGAGGACCAAGTTCTAGGGAGGACCGAAGGGGGAGAGGAGGGGAGGGACGGGAAAATAGGAGTAAAGGAAGAGGATTGACGGAAGCGAGGGAAAGCGTTCAATCCAAAGAGATAAAAAGGAAATCCTGAAGGGTGAAAAGACAGGTGCCAAAAACCGACAGGGTGCAAACTGCAAAGGGGAAGAGACAGACTGGAACAATGGATGGGGTGAGAATGTGAGGGTCGAACTTGAAGCGAATGCAGTGGATTAAGGACAGGAACAGATGGGCATGATTGGTGCTTGGTGGCAGAGAAGGTGGCTCAGGTGGATTCGGTGTCTGTCTGCTTATGGGCCCGAATTGGTCTGGCTCGGCAGGCCAGTTTAATTGCCCACCAGTGCACGCAACGCCGATTGCAAGCAGGCGCCATCGCTAGGTACCTAGCAGGGTCTGGATATTGCGGAGATCCCCTGGCCATCAGGTGTCACGTAGCTTCTGGCACATGTTATATGCACAAGCGACATCAAATCTGTTAGTCAGGTTACCCAGCGGTCAGCGTTCTGTCAACTGTCAAAATACAATGCTATGCGCATGTCGCTGCCGCCCCAATGTCTTCAGTGCAGTGAGTGCAGTGCAGTGAGTGCAGTGCAGTGAGTGCAGTGCAGTGAGTGCAGTGCAGTGAGTGCAGTGCAGTGAGTGCAGTGCAGTGAGTGCAGTGCAGTGAGTGCAGTGCAGTGCAGACTGCAGACTGCAACCTAAGGTATATAAAGTGCTTGTCACCAGTCTCAATCGACATGACCATCCAATCCCGCCAGATACTCCACTCTCCACCTCAACGCACCTGGAGTTCTGGAAAGCAACGGGAATTGCCATGAACCATCGTGGATTCTTGGAGTCTTGGAGAAGCAGCTGAGGTTCGAATATGTAAGATACCTATGTACTATCATGATCTAGCCCAACAGTTCCTGTTCCATGGATTGTATGCTGAGAGACAATGCCACATTGGTTTCCATGGCATGACCCCCTTTTCCATTCAGTTCAAGTTGACAGCCCATTTGCGACTTGTTCGCGCTTTCCGTGTATTTTTGAATATGCAATCTGCTACTGTAGCGAGTGTACGTAGGTACATAGACGTAGTACACAAGTACTCCAGTCTCCACCTGCTTGCTCCCTCCCTTTGTCCCCTTTGGCTGCAACGCAGACGAGCACGCCAAAAAAGGGGTACATATGCTGACGTTGCATCCGCCCTCGATTTCCCCTTCTTGGAAACGGAAACGGGGACCACTTGTGCTGTACCTGTCGGCCAGCCATGCTTCTGTAACACCACGCACCACGCAACTCACACTGCGAGTCTGACTGCACTCCGCGAGGCTTGTATCTATCTGCGCGCCATTCATCATTCGCACCCGCACGCCGCACACGCGTGTTGTGGACGGGTTCCGGATCCGATACCCGCCGATTGAGGGACCGGAACCGGGACCGTCATGGGCCGTGGGCCGTCTCTATCCACATGCCATGTATGCACTTGCAAGTTCACAGGCGACGAACGCTTCCATCAACAAACGTGCACCTAGCCGTACCCCTATATGTACTTCGTAGCGGATCGATCCGGAAATATGTGAAATTTGACTCCAGACTTCACCCAAGTGGACCTAAGTTCGTGGCTTGTAAAACTGCGTCTAAAGACGTTCACTCACGATTTCGTCCATCCATCTTCATCCAAACCAGGGGGTTCAAATCGGACTTCTTCTTACATAGCTCCCACTCGTAACCCTGGAACCCCTTGCCCGGACCCTGAACGCCTAGGCCAACTGCGAATGCCAAGACTGATACCAATCCTCCAAGGGCGGTATCGCCCATGACAAATAGACCGAGACACTTAAGAAAGGATCTCAACCTTTTTGTACACTGAGATGGACGAGACGCTGTCTGGATCGCCGCACCGTAGTGTACAGTGTTTCTTCATCATCAGAATTCTGGCCGTCCACACTATGTATCAGAAGCGCAGAAAGGGAATCTTATACATACCAAGGATCTATCTAGGTATTTCTAGAACGCTCATGCTAACGCACCAAAATGCCAGGCACATCGGTTTGATCTCACCCACATTTCCACCATGGTCAGGTTTCCATCACTTCCCCAGCTTATCTCGTCAACTGATATAAAAGCAATGAACATGCGCACAGAGTAAACTTTCATGACCAGATCATATGCGGTTATACCATCATGGAGCAGTGAGCAGAATAGGCATGTTTCTGCCAGCTCGAGCTCGCAGTGAGGGCCTCGCAGTGAGGAGTGTTCGCAATTTGCGCAAGTATGTACACTACCTCATTGCCTTCGCCCAGCAGTCGCCAGGCTTATAAAGCACATTACCGCTTGCCTTCGCATTTATATATATAAGCCTCAAAAGAGGGGTGTAACTTGAAGGGGCCCGGGGCCCGGGAATGCCTGCCTGTTCTTTTTTTACCATGACCATCTTCCTATTTCGACATGGAACATGCACATCATTGTCAATGGACATCATCCAATTCCAGAGGAACCGACATCCAATCTGCCGGTGTAAGCTCCACGCTCCACCTTTTGATCTCCGTTCTGACCTCCGGCTGGTTGTTGGCTGAGGTTTTGAGGTGTTGCTGACTTGTGAGCTACTAATCAGACACCTTCCAGCCAGTAGTCAGGTCTGGCCTCTGTCTGTAGGCACGTTCTCACAGTTCGAACGTGAGCGTAGAAAAACAAGAACAAGGCGAAGCATTCCACTTGCGAACCATGTCGTCGTCTTGATCAGACGGGCGCTTGCAGGAAGAAGGACTGGACAAGAAGAAGGCCAGGAAGAAGAGGAATTCAGCGAGAAGAGGGAGGGCAGTACCACCACCTACCTACCTAGTTGGGGGTCGAAGGAGTGAACTACCTAATACAGCAGCTTTGCAGAAGGGTTGAGTACCTTAATGTATAGCCACGACACTGCCTAGAACGTGAGGAGAAGAAGGATGAGCCCTCAGCTGTGGGTATTTTAAACTGCGGGTGGGAGTCACAGAGATTGGGCGTCGGTGGGTGTTTTTGGCAACACGGCCAGTCCAAGTCGCAGGACTGTTCCAGAACGTGACGTTGGGACAGAACTACCATTAGGTAAGGTAGGTAAACCTCATTCCCCCCCAAATGATTACCAGCTCAAAGTCGAACATCGCTTTGATCGATGATGCGGATTCTGTCAAAGACCTCATTTCTCATGGTCATCATCACGCTTCAGCAGTACCGCGCGTTTTTGGGAATTTCCCAGTTAATCAGGATCTTCTTTTCCTCTCTCAGACCTTTCAGGTTTTGAATTCGCTGCAGGTTGGACTGGTATTTCTGGGCCAAGGTGGTGGCTGATTAGGAGAAGAAACTGACGAAGGGAAAACCCCAGAACCCAGGTTAAATACCCCTCAGTGCTAACCGCACATTGCCACCTTCCCCAGGTTTTCAACCCCCTCGGGGTGTCTGCAGTCCAAACATCATTGGGGGGGTGGGTAGGGAGTCTGCGTGTATGCGTGTATGCGCGCGCATGTGTGTGTGTGTGTGTGTGTGTGTGGTAGGAAGGAAGGGGGTGGGGGGTTAGGGGATAAGAATAGGGAGACTTGATAGTTAAGTAGGCAGGACTGCAGCAGATCTGCCACAAGTTGATCTCATGAAGTCAACCAGGCCTCGGGTGCATCTACTTAAGTGATGGATTGAAGCGAAGTAGGTACTCGCGGTGTGTCGTTAACAGAGATAGAAGTCATCTTCTCTGGCGAGCAAGCTTGATGGTTGACGAGGCAGTGTCGTATCGTGTCATGCCCGTGGAAGTTGTTCACCTTCTTATGCTCGGGGGCATGGTATAAAAAGGTTGGACACTAGACCTCAGATGGCTGGATAGACGAAGCGGGTTGGATACCTCTACCTAGAGGTACCTACCGAGATATCTGTCTAGTCTTCAATCTTGGATATTTACTTGAGTAACTGACCGGTGAATGCCCTATAGATATACGAGTAAGGGGTGATTATAGTAAAGCACCGAGGTAAATGGTGTGTCGTGAAGAGAGAATGTCATCCCGCTATTGATTGGCAGTGGCACTTGAGAAGTTTTGTCACTTCTCGCATGTACTTTGGAAGACACTCGACAATTACACCTGACGGGTGGCATCACCGATTTCCAATACCGGCGGCGTGGTTTTGGACCTCGGTCCTGATTTCTACAATGTATGATGACGGTCAACATTTCCAACTTTCCGCCACCGTTTTCGCCAACTCCCTCCCCCGCCTTGGTGGTTTCCCCATAGAAAGGCCGGGTTCCGAGGTTTCGAAACTCGAAACGTAACACCGGTGCCGGGTCGGAAGTCAGAGGTTGAGTGCCGGGACACTCGAGGGCTAAAACAACATTTGTGGGCACGGAAGACTTAAACTTTGCCAGGCAAATGCCATCTACTAGCCAGCCTTGATGGTAGGTATCATTGACCACACCAATGGGACTGCAACTGCTGGAGGACTAGGTTGTGTGAATAATGGGAGACTTTCACAGGCAGTGAGCTCACCAAAAAGAGGCGGTCCGATTATTCACACAGCCTGAGGACCTGGAGGAGATGATAGCGGTGATGGTGATGCGTGATGTTGCTCAACGACGACGACAGGGGGGTTCTGGGACGGCGACGGCGATGGGGACGACGACAGAAACAGGGACGGGGGGGAGAACTCACCTGGAACGGGAACTGGGAGCTGGGATAATGTACTCATGATTTTGAGCATTGCTTTGACACCGTAACATGTAGCATACGACGTGGTGAGTGAGGGTTGTCTTGTGTGGCGTTTCTTGGCGTTGAGGTTCAAAGGGGCGTGGACTCTTTCAGGGGGAAATCGGTTGTAAAGTAAACAAATCGCTGCTCGCTCGGTTAGACACGGGATTGGAAAAGAGAGGATACCGGGGTACCTACTGACCACGTTAGTAGATCACAGACTTTCTGCTCTTATGAGGGAAGTTGCTTAGCTGGTAAATAGCTAGGCATGGAGCAAGGTCCAATGCATGCTCGGTGATCGATAGTTTTTATGAAGTTTGTGTCGTTGAGAGAAACGTTGCCGTGTGACTGACTATCTGGTTGTACTTGGAGCGATCATGCTATGTACATACCAGCCAGTTCATATCTTTCTTATGACGACTTGGCAACCGATTGACACCATCTGAACACCTCGTTGCTGGGCAATAAACACATCAATGGTGTACCCAAAATCGAGCATATTATAGTTATATATGGGATATATAGCTGGCATCCCACGAACTGTCTAGTACATAGAACAGAACAATTCCGCGAGGTCCTTTTCTTCTTTCTTTTGGTCCTTCCGGTATCGGCTGCTGCGCTACGAGGCCAAGCCTCTCAAGGCGCGAATTAACCGAACCTTTTTTCCTTTCCCACACCCCATCTCATTACACCCTTGTTTCGTCTTCCTCCTTCTCTAAGCGTCGTTCAGATAGAGGAACACAAAGGCAGGCGCTTAGAAAGCAAACACCTGATCCTCCAATTTGCTAACCGGCCTAGCCTTCTTGAAGCCCAACGCCTCCGTCGCCTTCTTGAGCCCACTGATCATGGGCGGCGGGCCGCACAGCAGGATCTTGACGTCCTCCGCGGCCTTAGGCAGCAACTTCTCCACCATCTCCTGGGTGACGTAGCCGACACCACCGGTCCAGCCCTCAGGCGGGCGATCCAGGACGTAATGCACGCGAATGCCCTTGTCCTCGGCCACCAGCGCGTCGAGATCCTCCTTGAGCAAGATATCCTGGGCAGTGACGTTGGCAAAAATGAGATCGACCTCGGTGCGATCACCGGCCGCGCGGCCGCGCACGATGGCGCGGATCACCTGCAGCATGGGCGTGATGCCGGTGCCGCCGGCGACCATGCCGAAGTGGCGCACCATGTTGGGGGTGTAGACAAAGGCGCCCTTGGGGCCCTTGACGCGGATCGTCTGGCCGACTTGCAGAGAGGCCATGTGCTTGGAGATGTTGCCGGTCGGGTAGGACTTGATGAGCAGATCGAAGTAGCCTGGCTGGTGATCGCCCGAAATGGGCGTGTAGGAACGCACGATCTCCTTGGTGGAACCATCGGGTTGCTCGATGGCGGCGCCGATGGAGATGTGTTGGCCGATGGGAAGGCCGAGGATGGCGGAGGGGGTGGGGAGCTTGAAGCGGTAGCTGTTGAAAGGATTGTTAGTTTTCGCGCATCCATAAGGAGGGAAGCAGATGTTTAGGGGCGAAAACACGTACATGGCGACGTTGTGGGAGATGACGGTCTTCTCCTTGAGCTCGAACTCCTGGAAGACATCGGGCTTGAGGACCTTCTTGGGGACTGCGTAGAAGCTGTTAGCGCGCGCGTCGATTTCAGCAATTTCAAGGAGTAGAGAGGTAACATACGCATCCTAAGATACTTGATGGCGCCCAAGACGAGGGCCGCAAGGGCGGCGTAGAGAGTCCATTCCGACTTGACGATGACGGTGCCGAAGACCAAAAGGCCGGCGGGGATGTAGATCCCGTCAAAGTACTTGCGCTCGAGCAGCGATTCCTCAACCATTTTGGAGGATTTTGTTCCTTCTTGTCGTGAAAAGAAGGAGGAAGAAGAAGAAGAAGAAGAAGAAGAAGGAAGGAGGGAAGAAGAAGGAGGAGGAGGAGAAGAAGGAGGAGGACGGTGAGGCAAGACGGAGTGCTCCTCTTGTTAGAAAAAAAGGGATTCCACTTTCTTCCCAAGTATAGTAGTGAAAGGCCACTCACTCTTCTCGACTCCAACAGCAAAAACGCGACACAAGAACGGGGGTCCAAATCGATCCAATCCACTCGGCTGGATCAAACAGGGGGTGCGTTTTGGCTTTTGGGTTATGACACCCGGACCAGGTCCCGTTGTTGAGTGTTGAGGGGTGGGTCGATTCTGCTGCGGGCCAGACCGGTTTCTGCCGTGCCGCCGTTCAACGCGACCTGAGTGCTAGTTGCCCCCTGTGAGAGTGTGCCACAACAGGTAGTTCCTGCCCTGTACACTGCTGTAACAACACCTAAATTACTAACAATTTGCACCGAATTGACCAACACCTTCCCGTTCAATTGTTAAGGAAGGCGGTGACGGTCACAACGCCGGGGATGTTTTGTTGACATGGAATTCATTCAGCTTCCCGTCCCGAGGCCGAGGAAACCCCTCCGAATCACGGCACGGCAGTCCCACTTCCACGACACTTGGATGACAGGGAAACAGCGCCCTGAGATCGCAATCAACAATGAAGTCCAAAATGGTTGTTATTTCACTTCGTCATGTTATTGCCTCCATTCCCAGAAAACATTTCCGAGACAATGATACTATAACTCGTTCATTTCACGATTATCCGTTTGCCTCCTCGCACCCTTTTACTACGTTGGTACAACAAAGAACAAGTCGTACATTCGCTACAACCTCTCGCCGATGTCACAAGTAAGAGCCACCGCCCGGCGCCCAGAAACTCCCAACCCCGCTCCCGCCCACCGAGTGTCCGATCACCGATCAGTGACTCTTTTTCGATTGCCTTCATGACGTGCAAACTTTCCTTGTGAACGGTTAAAACTCACAGAAGCAACATCTGCAAAATCACAAGCCAACCGAAATACCCCACATCGCCCTCCGATCATCCTATCCCCGGTTGTGAAACGCGGGAACGAAAAGCTCAGATTGAGATGGGTGACAACGCCCCCGCGCTACCATCCAAGCAGCCACCGGCAAATGATCCGAACCCGAACCCGAACCCGAACCCGGACGTGAACGCGGTAGACGAAAGCCAACAAAGCCCCTTTCCTCTTACGGCTGTCGACAAGTGGGTGCTCTCTCAGACTGATGAGGAATTCAAGTGTCACTCATGGGATGAGCTGCGAACTCTTATCCGTAGGGATTTCCTTTCCTTTTTTTCTTTCTGTCTTTAGTCATCTTTCATCATGATCATCATCACTGTCGTCTCATTATAATTATTACATCTATACATCCATCCACACATTACCCGTGATACAAGCCACATCTCACCCGCGTAACCTTTCTGAGCCGCCCATGTCTGACTTTCCAACCATAATCGCTTCCACCAAACAACAGAAAACAATGACCTCTCCGTCCTCAAACGCAAACCCTCCGACCTCCGGCGCTACATGAAATGGACAGCCGAGACCAAAGCCTCATACGGCAGCATGACCGCCTACCTGCTCGCCCACCGGTTACCGAAAGCCTGGGGAGCCGGACCGCCCTTCACGCCCGTCTCCGACGTCCCCTTTGCCGATCCCTCCGACTACTGCGTCCTGCTGAATGACTGGCCGTACGGGTTCGAGCCGGGCATCACCCACATTGTCGTGTGGACGCGCACCGTCATTGCGACGGATGATGACAAGGGTGATATGACGCCTGAGAGTCGCAAGATTGTGGATGATTTCGTGAAGCGGTACTTTGTTGATCGGCTGGGCCCTGGTGGCGAGGAGAAAGTCTTGTGGTTCAAGAACTGGGTGGCATTGCAGAGCGTGAGGGCGCTGGAGCATATTCATGTTTTGGTGAAGGGTGTTGATCCGGCGGTTATTGAGGAGTGGACCAGGGTGCGAGAGTTGCATAAGGCGTAGTTAGGTAGTTGAGGTAGTTGTCGGCATTGTCGGTGATAAGAGTTGGAGCCACGTAGAATAGAGGTATATAGACCGCCAAAAACGGATAGATAGCTCTGATATACTGCTTCCCAGTCTAAGCAGCAGCACGTCTCTGCTTCCTGTTACCAGCAGGAACCGCGCCAGCACCAGCAGCATCACCGCCAGCGCCGGCGCCCATACCGCCCAACCCAGCCATCGACTTGGCGGCACCCATCAGGCCAAAGCCCTTGTAGAGGCCATAAGCAGGGACGATGGTCCAGAAGATCCAGGCCCAGTTGCCGAAAAGGGTGACGAGAACGGCAGCCGCCCAGGTGACCCAGACGACGTCGAACATGTACTCGGTCAGGCCAGGGGCGGCGAGGTCCTCGCCCGAGGCCTTGAGCGCCTTGGTGGACGCGTCATAGCTGGGCCGCCCCGTCTTCTCGAGCGTGTACTGGCAGAGGAAGCTCGGGATCGAGAGAATGAACCAGAACAGAAGCGACCGCGACCGGAAGAGGAAGTGAGAGAGCAGGAAGATGCCGTTGACGGTGAGGGAGCCGATGTGCAGGTTCTTGAGCGTCGTCTCGTTGGACTTGGCCCGGTCTTTGCGCGCTTTTTGAGCCATTGTTCAGGTTGGAAATATGTTGTATGAATTGGCCTGGACGTTGACTGGGAAGTGACAGATTGCCGTGTCGTTGGTGGTGTGAGGTCAAGAGTCCACGGTTGTCGTGTGTTTGTTCAGGGTTGAGAGACAGGAAGCTGCATCCTGGCATCATCATGAATGGATGCTTACCTAAGCAGGTACAGCAACTCTTGGTCCCATATTATCAGGATGCCTTCTCCCCACTTTGGACTTCATCAGTCCTAAACACCAATGACAAGATTACGAATCAACGCGGTTGGCATTTGCTCAATGCCACTATTTACGAACTCCATTGGAAATTGTCTTTACCATGATAACATCCGAAGCAATCTAGTGGTACATGACTACCTACTGTGTAGCTGTAATGCTTTGGCTCTTTGACCAAGGCTTTTACCCGACATACATTCAAAACACTACAATACGTCGTCACATATACAGTCAGATCTCCAATTAACGATTATAGGGATAACGATATTCTGAGTTTAGCAATCAAATTTTGACAAATCTTAGTTTAATATATAGTGATAACAATTTTTCTGACTTACTCGATTATTGATCAATTTCCTGTTTACGTAACACATACAAATCGCTATATCCAATATACCTGTTTGACAGCTCTGGGAGGCCTGACAGGTTTAAAATTTTATTACTTCCTATCCCCACTGTAAAGTTGGGAGCTCTAGGGAGCTCAGCACCCTACTAAATTTCGCGCAGTGTTTCTCTTTCTGATCGGAAGGGTTGACTCAA